AAAAATAGTATCACTAATCACAATACCTTAAATCCCAACTTGCATTCAATAATAAAGCTTGAGAGAATGAAAAGTGTTATTCTTTAGGAAAAGAAGGCGTGAGTTTAATTTTATCTAGTTAAGAGTTATCGTACATGGTATTTACATCAAATTACATAATTTAGTCTTAAAATTACTCCTACTAAAGTGAGTATATGTACCAATTAATAATATGATTAAGCTGGTAATAAAACACATATCGACACCACCAAATGCAATAATAAATATTTTGCCTCCCACTAGAAAGAATCCTGCAACACACGTGAAATATAAAAGTTGGCCGTTAGAATTGCCATTTACAACTTGTTAGATACAAAATATGGTATGTGGGGTTCCTATGTCTTTTAAAACTAGATAAGTACCGCCAGTGTTTGAAAATGTTATATTATTTGATGTGGCTATACTCTATTATACATACATAGTTTTATTCACTTGAGAGGACTTAAATCCAAAATTAGGATTATACTTATATTTGAAATTTCTAAATATAATAATTTTTTTTTGAGAGAGTACATATAGATTTGTTCAAGACATAACTGATGCACAACTCCATATCTACATAGTGATTGTAACAGAAAAAAAAGTCACAAGACAATTTTGTAACATGTACACTCAACTTAGCACAAGGCACAATTTTATAACAGGCACACTCAGTTGTAGTAAACTTTGCTCCACACTATTTTGACATCTGCAAATCAATAAATGATAATTTATTGATGAAATTTCTTAGAGGCAAGGAGAATATGAGGAAGTTCGTTGTACTTGATTCAAGCCCACTATAATAGGAAAATAGTTGAATTTTCTGGCTGAAATTTTAAACAATAAACACATTATTCAAATCAAACATATACATAAAAGATATAAGGTGTGATAAATCAATAAACATCAAACTATATATGTTATCTCAGAGATTACCTTAACTTGTGGCTCCCACGATTACATCATATACTTTAGGCTTCTTATTATTTGAAGAAAACGTGGTTCATTATATTTCCCCACTGTAAGCAAAGAATTTTTTTTCTGAATTCCAACAATAAGTGTTCTTTCCATGGACCCTTTCTTAGTTCCATTGCTTCTTTGAAGCTAAACTTGCAAAATTATGAAGGTGTTTGTAGAGACGTTTTGAGCCATATACATTTACGATGACTATTTTAATAAATGGTCCTTGGTGCCCGTTCAAATATCACAAAATATAAAAATTATTGCATATATAGTAGCAGACCCAGAATTCAAACATCATAGGTTCTGAAAATTATTACGTAAAGATGACTTTATATGTTAAAACTGCAACAATAGTAGGTCTTAAACCCATGATTTTAAAATGTAATGGTTCAAAGCTACTAAATTTCAAAGGTTAGAACTCATAAAAACTTAAATTATATGTCTCTGACTGGGTCTTTGAATTTACCAGGGTATATATGTGAATTGGACACCACCAATGAAAGCAAACATGAAATAGGCTAAATTAAACAGCTCATTCATGCATTTTGTCAAACAAGTAATAGGCATTAGGCAACTTTTTACAATTATAGATCATCGCGAGATAAAAATTCATCCCAAAAATTACCGCATTCTACTATATAAGAAGCATATATTTCATCATTATACGTGGCACACAATTGTAAAACTCTATAGCTTCTTGAAAATTAAGGATGAAAAGGAAGGCTGATAGTCTACAGGATAATTTGAAGGTATACCCAAGTTTTAACTCTTTTGTGTCAAATTTAGTATGTAAAGTAGCTGTCTTTAAATTCTTAAATATATGTTGCTGATCTATTTTGTATTCTGTAGGATATGGAACCTGCTGTTTTTAGTTGAAATTTTACAGAAACTAGTCAGATTATTGCAGTAAGAAAGCATGTAAACATAAGAGAGAGAGAGGGGGGGGGAATACTCACTATTCACCAAAACCCAAATAGAAAAATTGAATCTTCATTGAAATAAACCCAAGCAGTAAATTCTTAAGAACAAAGCACATAAGAGAAAGGGAAAGAAGGTATAAATTAGAGGAGAAGATGAAAGGGGAGAGTCTCTAAAATTAGAATAATGTGCTTGCTGGCAGTATACTTTACGCAAGATAGACCTATTAAACACAATGACTAAAATATCCTTCAACTTAAATTTTAAGGACAAAAAACACACATGTTGATACCAACATTTGAACTCATGCTTCTTATATAGTAGAATATATATAAATTAAAAGACACTTTTTTGTTTCTACTCTATGTCTGATACTTATATTATATTGGAGTTCGATTATTTTAGATTCGTATGACATAGAGCTCTGTTCGGAAGGAAGCGTTCCATACCAAGAATTTTTTAATACCTAAAGTTAGAATTCAAAAGGAGTATCTATTTAAGGAAAAAATAACTGTATCGCTACACTGTGTGAGGTGAATTAAAGACATAAGATTCCACTATTGTGTACACTGTACAGTCTATAGATAATTGGAATGGGCTGAGAGCTGATGGTCGCTGTGAGTCACAATGAGACACTTAAAAGGGCCATTAATGGGCCGACTGTTATCCTTGTTTTTCCTTCATTCTTTCGGTCCAGGCTTCTAAATACTTTTCTTCAAGGGGAACTTTCACATATAGCCACTCAAAAATAGTTTAATTACTCTCCATAGCTATAGTTTGATAATTACAATTTGTAGCTACATGTTATATGGAGGAGAGAGGCGAGCGAGACTGGGAGAGAGAGGAGAGAGGCGAGAGAGAGGGGGCAAAGAGTGGAGAAAAGTGAATTGTATATGTATATAGGTTAGATAATTGTAAATTATACATATATATTTGTATATATGGCAAGCGAGATTGGGAGAGGGAGGAGAGAGGCGAGCGAGATTGGGAGAGGGAGGGAGAGAGGTGAATTGTATATGTATATATGTTAGATAATTGTATATTATACATATGCAATTGTATATATAGCAAGCGAGATTGGGAGAGGGAGGAGAGAGGCGAGCGAGATTGGGAGAGGGAGGAGAGAGGCGAGCGAGATTGGGAGAGAGAGGAGAGAGGTGAGCGAGAGAGGGCAGAGAGTGGGAGAGAGGTGAATTGTATATTTATATAGGTTAGATAATTGTATATTATACATATGTATTTTGTATATTCTGACGAATTATACATATACAAACATGACTAATTATACAAGCTCGAAGTCAGCCCTCGTAATTAATGTATAATGTTAGTCGTGAGTGGTAATTATAGCAAACTATAACTATGATGAGTAATTAAATAGTATAAATTTGCTTAACCGCGTAATTTTCCCTTTCTTCAATATCTTCAACAAAGTTACAAGAAGTATAATTTTTATCTAGTGGGGTTGAATTATTATTTTATTCAGGATCAAGATATACCATTATTTTAAGTCATAATACATAAAAATATTCTTTTAACTTATTCTCATTTTATATGTCTTTTAATTTTGGACGTGCATAAGTAGACACTTAAACTTGTATAAAGCTGAACATAAAAATCAATTTTAAAAAAACTCAAACAATTATAATGAAATATTATTGCAACGAATGACCACTATAATGAATTGTGACAGTAGTAATTTATATATTACATAAAGCTCAGAGTGACAGAGAAATTAGGAAAAACTAGAGTTTATTTATTAATTAATTATTCATGTAGTTCCAATTCTGGTTAGGTTTGTTGTGTCCGTATGGACGACTAAGAACTTCAATTATTCTCACAGATTATTTTAATCCTCTAAAGATATTACCTAATCGGTATTAGGTTTATCAGATTGACCAACAATATGTTACAGATCTAGCAAAGTATTAGTACTCGTTAAAAATAAAGCAGAGAAATTTGGCATTGAGTAGCAAAATTTATGGAAAAATTAAAATTTACTACGCTAGGATTTTCCTGTATCCATTTCATTATAATTAGTGCAACTTATGCTTATCTGTCTTTCGTGTGGTTAAATAACCCAAAAAACTAGTGATTATACCCTTGCACCAATAAATGGAGTTTTATTATACCACACAATAGTCCAACAAAATCACAATAAAAATAATTTTAATAATAACCTTTTTAATTATTTTTTTCATTGAATATGCACTTACAAGATACCCCTCCAAGCACAATTTGCTCGTACAATAATTCTAAAATGATGTTGGAGATCATTAATATAACCAAACACAAACAATTATTCTAAAAAAATTACTTCTCGAAACGATAAGTAAATCTTAGAAGTTTGGCCATATATGTGACGATCACAAACTATTATGGCCTAAAAAATATTAAATTCCCAAGAAATTCGTAAAACGTAATGCAATGCCACTTGGAAAACCCTATTTATTGAATATATAGTTGTTGACTTAGTTATGGCCGGCGACCATTCCAAAAATATTAATACAAAAACAGGCAAATAGTTTAATGTAGGATAAGATAATAGTCTAATCTAAACCACCAAAAAATTATTTAAATGAAGTGGATCTACGTTAAGCCCCACCACTCCCAAATTGTTCCTTTTATTCTTCGTCTTCTTCTCCTTCTTAATTGTCCTTTCATTTGTTTCTTTCTTCAAAGATTCATTTGATGACGAATAAAACCGTATATATATATATATACTCCATTAATTTATACAATATATTTTACGTACTATATATTTCATATCCCTAAGTTCCATTTGATCATCCACATGACTTTATTAATACCCACAAGGTTACTGCTTTCTTCTTTAATTAGCTAGGAGCCAGCCCATCACAAAGGTCATGTTCATGTGGTACGTTATGTTACGTTGGTGCCTTTCATATTACTCATCATCACGTGATTAACTTCATTTCATTTCCGATCATTTAATTTATTCTACCACCTTAAGGCGAAAATACACCTCTGCTTATATATACATGCATTATATTTGTGTCTTCATGCATCTTTTGCACAAGTTTATATACGTCTGTTATTTTATTTTCGTCAAATTTTGGGGTGTTTTTATTTTCTGGAAAAAAATGAGTGAAATTATCGAAATGTTGGGTTTTGGATTGCAGGAAATTAGGAGAAAGAGAGGGATAGAAGGAAGAACAATGGCGGAATTGCTTAGAGAGAGAATGGACGGTAATGATCGCGTTGTGAGACGACGAAAGAGTTTAACTGAACGGTTAGGATTCACCGGATCCATTGCATGTTGTGGGACCACTTTATGTCTCCGACCAGCTTCGTTAAGTGTAATGGACGATGAAGAGGAGGAGTCGCTACAACCACCGCCGGAGGAGGCGGAAGTAGGCCGTGAAACACCGCCGGAAATAGAGTCAGTTAATATTTTATGCTTGGCTGATCATATTCCTACGGGTTCCGGGATGAACTTAGCGGCGGCTTTACTGGCGGAGCGTAATTTAAGATCGGCCCAAGATTCTGATGGATCAGGCCCAAATACAAGCCCGTTGAGATCCAACGAAGATGGGCCGGGTACTGGAGGAGGATCGCCGTATAGGGTGTCGTTGATGAGATTGTTAGAAGAAACGAACGGCTGGGATGAGAAGGAAGAATTAGGGGTGGGTAATGATACGGTGTGCTGCGTGTGCATGGGAAGGAAAAAAGGAGCAGCATTCATACCATGTGGACACACATATTGTAGGGTGTGTTCAAGAGAGCTTTGGTTAAATCGAGGTTGTTGTCCCCTTTGTAATAGATCCATTCTTGAAATTCTCGACATTTACTAAAGAAAAAATTCATGGATTATTGTGTTGAGATTTCTCATCAAATGGATTTGACTTTATGAAATTCTAACCTTCATTTAATAAAATTGTTCATAAGTTATACCACTTAAGTCGGTCAGAAAAAAAAAACTTCATTTCATTTTCGTACGAGTAAATCTGATCTTCATTTGTCAAAAAAATCTACACATTGATTTGTCTCTCTCCCATAGAAAAAATGGTAGCTTGTGCCAGTTAAATGTATATATTCTAGTTTTGTTTAATTTGTTGTTTGTATACAAGTGATTGAGTAATTGAAGTCAAACATCAAAAGAATTACATTTTTTTTATCTTTAAAGCCCTAGACCATGATTGACGAGGATGACTTTTTTTATTATGCTACTAATACTTGCTTGCTATATAGTCCAAACCTGGCCGAGGAAGAGTTACTTTAGCTCATAAGAAAAGAGGTTGTCTTTATAGTTACTTTAGCTCATAAGAAAAGAGGTTGTCTTTAAAATAAATGTTTTGGAAAGGATAAATGCTTCATATAACCCTATTTTTGGGATACATTTTTAGTTGTAAATGTACAACGAGCCCATAAACAGTGAGTAAATGACAAGTGGTGGACCAATACAAAGTTGGAGCAGATAAATAGGTATTGTGACAATCTATTCGATGCTTTGTCAAATAGATCCATAGTCACTGCCACTGGTTAGTCCAATTTGATTTGGTGCATAAAGCCCAGTTGTGAATGCAAAATTGAGCAATAACAATATCAAGAATTCCAATGACATAGTTGTTAGGGTGAAATTATTTTTACCCATATTAGGTGTCGAGTGATTTGAGTTCTCATTTGAAATTCTTATTTGCATTGTCGAGCGATATTTGATTGTCTTACTAATGGAGGGAAACAAGGAAGAAAAAAGACAAAAGACTTGTAACAATTTATCGATATAGTAAAGTTAGAATTTGAAAAAAACACCAACATATTATTATGCATTAATTTGACAAGCTCATCAGTTTCATGAAACTAAATATTCTGATGGAAAAAAAGATAGAGAGAGGAAGAGAACGCTCTCTCAATATTAAGTTGTTTAAAGACGCTCGAGTAAAAATAATTTAATTATGATGAATATGTTGAATACTTAATTAATACATAAGTAGGAGCGAGTACAAATCAATTACACTATATAATTAATCTTAATAATTAGTTAGGACTTAGGTTGAGTTGATAGTTGATTGATTGATATAAAGCACTTACTAAAGCTTCCAAAGGCACATTTAGTGACTACCAAAGGTATCCATCGAGAAATTAGCAATTAGTAGTACTTGTTCTCAAGCTATAGCACATAAAATTTTGAGAATAAGGGTCACAATCACAAGGAATCAACCAAGAAGTAACTCAACACTTTCAGTTCATTAAATCAGACAACTTTTGAAATATAAAATTGGTCAATGAGTCAACTGTTCTTAAAGTTAACAAAGAAAATGACTAAATATGGTTTTAGACATTCTCAATGAATTAAGGGTCCCAATTTGATAGTATAAGGAATCCCATATATGTTCTACATATCAACATCAAAATTTAATGGCTGCTTTTCATTTTATCTTCATTTGGTTGATCTTTCCTAGAAGCTACCTCAAATGAGCAATTTAATACATAAGTTAATAAATAAGAGACCCCCACCTCCACTCTCAAAAAAGGAGGGAGAGGAAGAAGAAATTCCATTTAAGTTCTTGATATATACTCCCTCTATCCCTAATTACTTGTCCACTTTTGAATTGACATACCTATTAAGAAAATAACTAATGACATAGTGAGTTCACCATTTTACCCCTATTAATTATGAAGTGGATGAAAAGTTTTACATTTTTCAAAGTAATTAATCATTTAATTGAGGGTATAATAGATAAAAAAAAATTGTCCTTTCTTGATTTGTCAAAATGGACAAGTAATTAGGGACAGAGGGAGTATTATTTTCTCTAATTGTAAAAGGACCCCACCCTAACCTCCATAAGTAGACTGTATAAGTCATTGTATATATGATACACATATATGATATATCACAACATTTGGGGTTATGCTAAGATGAATAAGACCCTTGATGAGTTTTTTTTATTAGAGGTTTCAAAATAATTTCAATAGAAGAAACTCTTGGTAGAAGTTACTTCTTCCTTACTTTAATAAGTTTTCCTTTAATAATTTATATATTGGTCGAATCAGTAAATCTGAAATACTATATATATATATATATAAACAAGATGCCCATATCATGATTTTGCAAACCTATCAAGAAAGATTATATGCTCTTTAAATGAAAATATTTTGATCCAAAGGTATCTCTTTAAAGTTAGAGATCCAAGGATTAGTTCCTAATTGACCAATGACCTATTCATTTACTCTTTTAAATTTTGCATTTATTAACATAATATTTTGAAAAATTATAAAGGATAATAAATATAATATATATTTATAAATAACATTAAATATGTGGAGAGGAGATCTTGGTTAGAGTTTTCTTTACTTAGAAAAGAATTGTTCAAAAATTAATTTGATGCATTAAGCATTTTGCATAAATTGATAAGCATAGGATTTGAGGCCGATGGACCACATCTTTCAGGGTGTGATACATATAACTTACCATGATGCAAGTATTAATGTTTGATTTCATGACTCGATCCAACTATATTTAATTGGATTGGGCAGAAGCCAAATTAGAATCTTCTACAACTTGTTAATTATTGGCACATAATTTAATTTACATAACAAACAAAAACAATTTATGATAAAATAAAAATATGAATTTTTAAAAATGTGTGTCGACACTGACATTCTTGTACATTCCCACCCAATACTATTTATTCTCCATTTGTGCGACAATTATTCTTTTTCCACCACTTTAAATCACGAATGGAGAATTTTCATTATTTTAAATTAAATTATACAGAACATGCTCTATACTTTCTAACTTTATTTTTCTCTTATATATTCCGAACAGCTTGCTTATTTTTTTATTCGCAAATTCCTATTGGGTAGGCATGTACCCAATAGGGAAAAAGAGAAGAAAAGAGTCTTGTGAGAATTCGACTTTAAATTCAAGATTTGGGAAGGAGTCCAAATTTTGGGCTTTCTGGGCAAAAATGAAGTTGAATAATTTTGCCTATTTTTGGACCTTTGATCGACTAACATTCATTCATAATTCACGGTTGACATGCAATTATCTCATATTTATTTACTTTGTTATTAACAGATTTTCATTATAAACTAGATGGATTTGCCTCAAAAAAAATTCTTTTCTAATTCTTGAAGTTCTTATTTAAATATAGTTTTAATTTTTTTCCCCTTTTATTGTTGCTTGTAGTAAAGAGCAATGTTTTTTTATTGGTAGAACGCGTACATAATCAATTAATAAAATTCTGAATATATATATATATGATTTTTGATCCAATCCATTTTCGAGGTATGCACTGAATTTAGTCATGGTATCTTTGAAGTAGTAATTCATAAAGAAGTCACGATAATGATCATAAATATTCGTGTTCTTAATTTTGTCATATTGTACATACACATAGTTGTTTCATTTCTTGTCATAGTATGCCCCAGAAACTTATGTTCTTTGGCCTTTGAGGGACCATTATATTATATATTTTCATAATTTTTATGAGTTGGAGAAACACAAAAATAAAATTAGAATTCATATATAGCTAGGTAATTAAATTTTAAAGTAGCCATGCATGGAACCTAAACTACAATCCAAAAAGTCCAAATTAAACATGCAACATGCACATTGTGCTCTTTGTATTTTTATGAAATATATATAACTTCTCTACTTTAATTGTTATTCTCCAATTCCATATATAGTTAGTTATCGTCATCAATATATGATATATCTATCTATATAATATGTAAAATCAACCCCTGTTGTAAGAAGAACAAAAGTGTTATATTATTTTTGTGTTTTCGAGTTGAAATAGTATAAGCGAGATAACATAATATAGTACTAGAGTAATTTATATCAGTACTTGAAATAAATTTGCATTTTATTTTATAGCCTATGCGCCTATTTATGTTGATAAAAATAGGTACTCGTATTATTTTGATAAATTTGTTGAACAGTTAGCGAAGATTTGCTGTTAATTTTTAATTACTTTACCTAGATTCGATAGCTAGAAACAATATTATTTAGCATGAAGATTACAGTACTACTAATTATTATCCTCTTGGGAAATGCTCGAGGAATTAAAGAGTTAATCCACTATTTAGTTCATCATCACAATTTGACAAGTTGATGGGTTATTAACCAATTTAAATACATTAGCTAAACCATAATGTTATTATTAGACGTATAGATTTTTTATTTGAGTTAATGACTTTACTTACGATCAATTGCACACAAAGTTTAATATTTGTTTACGACAAGTACTGAAAGATAGAGTAATATACTTCATAAATATTAAAATTTTGAATACATAAATTTAAAGAATTCTAAACTTTAAATAAATTAAATTTAAATTCTAAATTCGGTGATAGTAGTAACCAAATCAAAGACAATCTTGAAAATATTTCTTGGTCTCCACTCGTGCAACTTTAAAGCAACAGCATTTTTCTTTTGTTGATTCTTGGAATAATAAAGTTTAATGTGTAGCACTTATCAGTCAAGGAAAATTGGTTTCGTATTCTTTTAATAATATTTTTCATGTTTGTGTTTTTATTTAATTAGAAATTTTCATATTTACATATAAAAGATCGAAAAAAAGTCATTTGTCTTCTGATAATTTTGTAAATGACTTAGAAATTTTAATTTTTTATATATATAGTTCGAGTTTCGGCTATATATACAGTAAAAGAAAGAATAAAAGGATATTGCTGCCTGTCTAAAAGATTGATTTGGATAGGAAATCTAGAAATGAAGAAAAATTGGAATCTTGTTGTTGTTCAGGTCTCATAATATTCCCATCATATCCAAGATTTTTTCTGCTTATTTTCTTTCTTCATCATATTAACTTCAAGTACAATCATAAAAAAGAAAATATATATACTTATGTCAATTAAACAGGAATAAATTAGAAAAGTAAAAAAAGTAGAGTAACTGATTCGAAATATGTATATATAGTGTTTTACCCATGGTTTTTCCATAGTAACTTTAAAACAAGAAGGCCCATTGGTTTAGCTGCATGAAATAAATGTGGAAAGAATGAAGTAATAATGATAACAATATTTGCTGGATCTCAAAGTTAATAAGGTCCCTGCAATATCTTTGTCACTCTATGGTATCAAATTGTCAAAAAGTTTCATAGAAATAATACCATTAATCAACATATATTTTTAAAAAGTAAATAAATGAACAAATCAAACACAAAATCCCAACATTATTATTATTATTACTATTAATAAAAAGCAATGCAAGAAAGATCGAATGGCGAAGAGAGATGGCTTGGCATGGAAGGAATGAAAAATTGTTAAGAATGATGACTTCTTTATTGACATAATGAGAAGCTAATTAAATAGAAAGAGTGATTCTTTGAGCAAGTCTGAATATCAAAATATATTGGTATAACAATTACATTTTTTATGCAAAAATTTTAACATCATCAGACACATACTCTAAAGACATTTTTTTTTCTTCTTCAATGTAACACGAAGAAATATTTTATCCTTACATTTTAATTATGCGACATCACTTAGTCTAAGATAAAGTCCAGCGGCTTTGCCTTGGTAATTAAAGAGCATTAATTTCATCTCAACCGTCACAACACATTGCAAATTAATGAATTTCAAACGTAACAACCATATAAATAGTTATACACACTATGCAGTAAATAACTCAACTCAATTTAATAAAATCCACAAAAGGAAGGAGTACAGTCTACAGACACGCATGCTAAAATTGCCCTTAATTCTGCCTCTCTTTCTTACTCATTATACTAACTTTTTTAGGTAAAGTCTCATTCATAATAAAGCTGTCATATACAGTGTAATTTCCATAAATAAGACAACAACATTTGTACAATTCTTCAAATTTAAACCCATAAAATAATAGAAGATGTCCCTATCCCATTTCATATCATGCATTTATTTGTTTCTTTAGGCAGATGTCTTTTTCTTTTCCTTTTTTCGCCCTCACTTTTGTTTCTTTGTCAAAGATAAATAACTTTAACCTGTAAAATTCAACTATCTAACATTCTGAGTGAATAAATGAATTATATTTGGAATTTAAGAACCTTATCTACTGCAGGCCATTAATATTTCCTTTGAATTTTAGTATGTAGGTTTTCTAACTTCAGATATATATATGTATATACTTGGTAATTTCATCTTTTACTATAATTTGTCCCTTTTCTTTTTTAGGTAGTTAAGTTGTAGAATTTTCTCTGTTCTTTTTTTGGCTAGTTTTCAAAAAAGTAATTGGTAAATTCAATATACTAACGTTTAGTTAGATGGATAGTACTTATATGCACCAATTTTTTTTACAATAAACAGATTGTTTAATTTTGAGAGTTACTGATTAAAGTGAGAATACATACTACCTAATTATAAAAATTTGTGCATGTCACAACCAAAGTTTAATTATGTCACCAACATACATGACCACATATTTTATCTCGGGTAATTATATTATCATTGATCGAGTCCAAAAGAGCATGCATCATGATAATTAATTGTGTTATATCTTATTAAGCGTTTTACATTTTCATCTCCTAATTTATTTGAGGTAGCACATGTATTCCTTTTTCAGAAGTCTGTCAATTTCTGTCTGACCCACCCTCATTGTTCCAGTACTGTCCTTGAGATGGACGTCTGAATATACACATTTTTTCTCCAAACTGTTCCATTCTAGTACGTTATTAAGCTTGCACCGATCATCATAATTCATAGAAGAATAAATATGTAGAGATAATTTCTTTGTTCAAATTTATACGCCATTTTTTTTATCAATTCCTAAAAGACGAGAACCATATATGTGCTTGTATAATACTACTAAAAATGTCATGTCAGGAATCATGATTTTCACTATATGAATATTCAAAATATAAAAAAATAAATATATGCCAAGGATATTATTATTTTTTATATATACACACACAAAATTAATTACTCCATATATAATATAATTTCTTGATGAAGAAGATTTGAATGGACTCTCTTAGCCACAATATATTTAGGATCACAAATTTTAACTATTGATATGCAAAAAAATGAAATTTTTAGTACTTTTCATATAGTTTTTGAATATCTAAATTTTTATTTAAAATATCAAATTAATATTATCTAATTTAACTTTGAAAATTAGTTCAATAGACTTTTAAAAAACGCAACATGACAATTAAAAGTGGACAAACAGAGTATCAACTTAAAATTCTGAATATGCATTTTGTACGTGTACGGTACTGTCTATTCAATGTTACGCTGTTCGTCAACAAAGTTTTAATGGCGTGAAAATATTTCCAAAACTATAGGAGATGTTCAAATCTTCTACCGTGTCATCAATGACAATTTCTCAGTAGGTAAGAATTTATAACTCTCTAAGTATGCGTGACATCATTTAAATTTTAAAAGTTAAACGAGTTTTTATATCTTGAATGTTAGTTTTTGTGATTTATAATATTTCTTTTGCTTATTTTTTTTTATAAATTTTGAATTTTACACGTCTCTTAAGAACAATGATTAACATGAACATTTTATTACAATTTTTATATTAATTGATATATAGTATTGAGTCTCACGAAATAAAAATGAACGAATGTAGTGCTTTTTATTTTTAAAAAACAGTAAATCATATGTTCCATTCTAGACGAGAGGGAGTTGCTCGGATGGTAAGCACCTCACTTCCAACCCGAAGGTTGCGAGTTCGAGTTATCAAGGGAGCAAAAGGGGTCGGAGCTCCTAGGGAGGGATAAAAAAAAAATATATGTTCCATTCTACCATTACAATTAAAAACAATTAAAATATAAATGATGTCAAATAAATTAGAAAGCATCGCACTTATACTATGATTATATTATGGATCTTTTTTTGATGTGAAAGTTGTCATTTGATTCCAAAAACTCAACTTTTTAGGCGGCGGGACTTGCAAAATTAGGCTAATTAATCTCACTTCTTTTAAAAAAATATATCTCAGGTAGATTTCCAATGCCGACATTACCTTTTTTGCATCTAATGCTTTCGATTAGGATTTAATTACGTAAAGATGAATCTAAGAGCTTCTTAATAGTATAACACAACAACATTAACTTTAATATTTTAATAAAGGAATTCCTTTTGCTCATTAGCCTATCAATGACCACATTTTTATTTTTCTTTACTATTTAATACTAGTATTTTAAGAAATGGAGCATCTTTTCCTTTTTATGGACCATGTCAAGATGACACTTCTACAAGTACTAATTAAGTTGTATACCTAATTCATCTGCAATATATATTTGATATAATAAAGTATGAGACAGGTAAAATGTACGCATACCTAATACCTTATCTCTACTTCGGAAAGAGGGGTTAGAGTAATTTTGTACAATACTATTATCTAAAATAAAAGCTTTAACTAGAACAAGCGGGAGATGATGGGAAAAAGTAGCAGAAAATAAAAGGAACACTTATTATTAGGTGCAACTTAATTAATAGTTACCCCACCAAAAGAGAGAAATGGCCCATTGCCATGGCTACAAGACATTCTTCCAAACTTGGTAGGGGTCCATCAGTATGTACACACATACATCATCCACCACTCCTGTTCCCACTTCTCACTTCTTTTATAAAAAATATTGCAACTTATTGGATTAGCTTTGCACGTATTTCAATTATTTCACATTATTACATACGATTTAAATTGTTTCGATTATTTAATAATTTTTCAAAATTTGAACCAAAACCAATGTACTTAGATGGACTCATGACTAACACCCTACATCTGCTTTTTCTGACTTATCAGTACACCTAGCAACTAAGTGTCCGTTTGGATTGACTCATTTTAGGTACTTTTAAGCCAAAATAGTTTTTAAGCAATTTTGAAATGTTTGAGTAAAGTTAAAAAATGTTTATAAGCACTTATTTTAAAGCTGAAATAACAAAAATAAGCCAAAAGTCATAAGCTAGGAATCCTAGCTTATGACTTTTGGCTTACAAGTCATAAGCCAAAAGTCAATCCAAACAGGCCCTAACTCTATTTACCAGTAATTAGACAAACTGACAAAGAATCATCAACATATTTTCTAATTTGTGTTAAGATTTGAAACTAATCACCAGGCAACTTCTCACATTCCCTTTATTTGCTTTAGATTTTATTTTTTATTTGCATGCCAATTTTTTTAATTAAATTCACCCTATCCTTTATCAATTCCATCAGTTATCAAAAGCCTATAAATACCCCTCTCTAGTATATTACTTTATAACTCACCACATAAAACAGATACCAAACACAAGCAAACTAGAGAGTCAGCCAAGTGAGAAAAGAAAAACAGAAAAATGGAGAGTAATTTCCCAGTTGTGGATATGGGGTTGCTTCAAACTGAGAAAAGGCCTGAAGCAATGGACAAAATCAAAGATGCATGTGAAAACTGGGGTTTCTTTGAGGTAACATTATATTATACTACAAGATCTTGAAGAAGAAGAAAAATTACTTTCTTGATTTCTGATTTTTTTTTTCTGTTTTGTGATTTATAAAAGCTTGTGAATCATGGGATTTCCCATGAATTGCTGGACACAGTAGAGAACTTTACTAAGGGGCATTACAAGAAGTGCATGGAACAAAGGTTTAAAGAAATGGTGGCAAGTAATGGACTTGAAGCTGTCCAAACTGAAATTGATGATCTTGATTGGGAGAGCACTTTCTTCTTGAAACATCTTCCTGTTTCCAATGTGTATGAAGTTCCAGACCTGGATGATGAATACAGGTTTATAAAACAAAAAAGATCCAATTTTTACCCTTTCTATAAACAGAATCTATGGCTCCAAATATCTGGGATTTGTATCAGTTCAACTTGTAGCTTTACTGTTGATCAGAGAATTTAGCTTATCCTTAGTCTTGAGTCTTGATTAGTAGCTCTGTTTATTGTACTAACTTTATATTACCTCTAACCTCATGACAGGAAAGTTATGAAAGATTTTGCACTGAAGCTAGAGAAACTAGCTGAAAATCTTTTGGATTTGCTGTGTGAGAATCTTGGACTAGAGGAAGGTTATTTGAAAAAAGCATTTTATGGCTCAAAGGGTTCAACTTTTGGCACCAAAGTTAGCAACTATCCTCCTTGTCCCAAGCCGGACTTGATCAAAGGCCTTCGCGCTCACACTGATGCTGGTGGCATCATCCTGCTTTTCCAAGATGACAAAGTCAGTGGTCTCCAATTGCTAAAAGATGGCAGTTGGATTGATGTACCTCCTATGAAACACTCTATTGTCATCAACCTCGGCGATCAGCTTGAGGTATGTATTCATTTTAAGCGTGTTGTAGCAGGTAATCTGCCTTATTTTCTAGGGTAGTACTGATTTTGTTTGAATGATTAAAGGTGATTACTAATGGAAGATACAAGAGTATTGAGCACAGAGTGATTGCTCAACAAGATGGCACTAGGATGTCAATAGCTTCCTTTTATAATCCAGGAAGTGATGCTGTCATATTTCCAGCACCAGAGTTGATTGAGAAGACAGAAGAAGAGAACAAATTGAAGTATCCAAAATTTGTGTTTGAAGATTATATGAAGTTGTATGCAAGTCTCAAATTTCAGGCTAAGGAGCCTAGGTTTGAAGCAATGAAGGCTGTGGAGACTACTGTCAACTTAGGTCCAATAGAAACTGTTTGATAATGTTTTGAGGGGGGAATTTGTTTATGAATTAATAGGACACTAATTAAGAGGATTAAAGAAGTTTAGGTTTCTAAAGTTGTGTTGTCCTTTTAGTTAATAATTTACTAAGGCTTCTAAGTAACTTATGTTACTTGATGTGTCATTGTCTCTTGTATGGTAGTGAGCTGTTTGAGGTTGTTCTCTATGGGGTATATTGTAAAGTTTCCTATTTTACTTTAATGAAATCTATGCTTGCAAAAAGAAAACTCTGTGTATGACATACTACACGTTTGAGTTTAATTAATATACACTAACAAGATAAAGAAAAATTACACTAAAAGAGAATTATGAATAACATGCAAAACATATGAATGACATGTTACAACGGCTAAAAGTTAAAATTGCATGTTCGCTAAGCATGTTTTTATATTATCAGTGTGTGTAAGTTACTTTAAACGCATTTATCTAAAAGGGAATGTGTTACAGCACAACTAATATAAAAATCAGAAAAGGACTCTAAAACTTTGTTGAAAAAGGAATTTGGATGACATAGCAAACTTGAACACCTCAAATTATTTATTTCTTTTTATCATGACTGTCATTTTCCAGGGATTCTCAATTGAACACCAAAACAACTCTGATGTTAATAGGAAAAGACACAAGTAATAGTATCGATACTCAACTGCTCTGTTTCACCTTTTTTTTTCCCTCTACATTATCTGTTGAGTCATTGACAATTATGTGTACACCAATTACCACCTTAGATTCCCCAATGAAAAGGGATGGGGAAAACATAGAAGTACTATTAAACCTGAATTATATATGGATGCACTACTTTTAGAGTATGGGACATGCACCTATAAGCATTTTTGAAGAACATAGGAAAAGGCAAGGGCGGATCCATCATTATGATTCATCTGAATTCACTACTTTACTATTGATATGTAGCATAAATTGAAGAGGTCCACTTATTTGTGTGGGGTGCTTCGCGAAAGTGAAAAAGGTCAACTACTTAATATTTATCATATTTTGTTAAATGCACATTTCGTAACATCTAAATATCTAAAAGAACTAGAGAGACCCACTGCAGTGTCACCATTTCATTCCTTTTCTCAAAAGCTCTGTTTTGATAAAAGGGAAAAAAAAACAAAAAAACGCTTAGCCCCCTACCCAATGCTAATTAGAATTAGTCCATTCTAATCGGATTAGTAAACTTCAAATACTAGATGATTAAACCGAAGACCGGAAAAAGAAAAGAAAAAGAGCTTCCCTTTCCTTTTACATTTGCTGATGATAGCAGCAGCAACAAATATATGATACAATAAGGTTAAGGCAAATGGTTTCATAAAGGAAGACAAATAAAGTTCTGGCAAATTGAAGTCTAAAAAGTTCTGATTCTCTCGGCTGAAATTCAAAATAATGGTATAAGAGTCACCAGAAACTCTGGTGATATTGAATTCTTATACTAACACTTGCTATGGAATGTAGGAGCATGCTGCTGCAACATCTCAAGCATATAATAAAAAAAATTCAAACGGTGAGAAATATGAGTCGCTGTTATGTGGAATGGTTAATTTTCAATGGAATAGTATCCAATAGCAACAACACCACACTTGATAAAAGAGTTCAGACATCAACTTCTGAACAACTAAGCAACAACAGCAAATGAAACTTCCATCTATCAGAAATTCAACCATTAGCATCTACATTTCAACAGCCTGAAATGCTAGCAACAATGACATTTCTCTTCTGCCATGGTACTGACATGGATATCTGAAATTACAACCTCCAAACAAGACCAAAAAGGCGAGAAAGTAGCATGAAATTACATTCCGTGGTTCTCTCTTCACGAATAAATGTTGGATAAGCTACAGCTTAAGAGCAAATGCCTGCTGAAAACACAGATCGCTAATGGTTTCAAACCGTGAACTGTTTCTATCACAATATTACTGCAGAATTAAATGTTAATTTGCGGAGGCTAAAAATATTAATCGCATCAATAAAAAAATTTCAGAAAGCAAACTCCATATAGAAAAATTAGTGTCAGGCTGACGGTGTTGGCACACATACATAATCCAGAACCTTCAGAGAGAGCACATTATGATGCCAGTTCTCCACCAGCATTGAGAAGATAAGCTTCCTGATACCTACTCTTCTAAAAGTGAACTTTCCGTCGCTCCATTTCAGACACATGCATGAAAAAAATGCTAATGCAGGTGATGGGCAGCGCAATCCAATAAAACTGAAAGCAGGTCGCTGCCCTAAGCTTGACTAGCATCATTCTTATGATTTGCACCTTCATCAGTGTTCAAGCTCTCAACCATTTGCTTAGATCCCTCTGCAGCTTCCTCATTGGAACAATGGTTCTTCAAAACTGTTGAGATGTCACTTTCAGAAGCTCCAGCAAGCTTGAATCGCTCAACTGCTGTATCAAGGTTTTTCTTCCAACCAGCCAAAGCCAACTTGCATTCAACTTGAGAGCGCTCAAAGAGCATATTACCCCAAAATAAATGGATTTGCGATCTCATAACAGCAGCTTGCTCTGCGGCCTCCTCAGCTGAAATTTCAGCTGGACCACCAGCAGCTGACGCCTCACCTTCAGGACCACTTGCTTGCTTCTTCCTTCTCCTTAATAATTCATCCTTCTTGCTGGCGCTAGGATCCTTTAGCTCATTAGCTCTCTGCTCTTCAATTTTCTCCCACATTTCTGTTGCAGCTTTCATTTTTAATTCTGCACTGTCAAAGAGTGCAAGAGTTTCAGTAGGATCCCAATTTGATAGGTCCTCTTTCTTAGCCAAGATAAAGGACCAGTAAAGTTTTGCCATTTCAAATTGCTGCTGCCCCAATGCCAGTAACCCCTCATAAAAGTCTGGTTTGATTAAGAGTGCCTCCTCATACTTCTCTTTGGCCAGAGAATATTTTTCTTTCACCCAGTCATATGCTGCTTGGAGTTGTGTAGCCATCATCTCCTTTGAAGCAGAATCATCTATTGGAATTCTTTTCCTTGCTGAGCACATGTGAACATTTCCCCAGTTGAAGAAAGCAAGAGCTGCAACCTCCTGAAATTTTAAGGCAGCCTTGTCGAAAAGAACTTGAGCCTCTTCACTTGTCACAGTTTCCTCAAGGGCTTCAGAGCAAAGCTCCATCCCAAGCTCATGCAGATCAATGTGAGCATCTGGATCGATGCCTACATGGGTCCTGAATAACTGAGCAAACTCGAAAAGCCAGTCATCCATTTCAACCTCTTTGCAGTCAGGATTTTCGGTTGTAGCCGCTTTCTCTTTGATAGTTACCTTCTCTGCCTTATTGCTCTCATTATCCACAGTTTCAACCACCGAATCACTTATTGAAGAATGGGATCCACTATCATCCCCTTTACTCCCTTCGCTCTCGACAGGCTTCTCCTCTTCCTCTTCCAACAAGGCTGGCTCTTGTTCAGGACTCACCTCAACGACGTGCAACCTTAACATCCCAATGGCGTCAGTTTTATCTGCATCAGGGTCTTTTGGCAGTAAACCATCAACCCAAGACTCTGCTGATCTAAGTTCAGCCGTACAGGTAATAGTTACTAAATCACCATCACTGTCCTTATATTTAACAAGAACAGATTTTGACATAGGGAACCGTTTGCTAACAATATCCCTCAACACTTTAAAACTGCAAGTCACAGGCATCTGGGCAAGCCTTATATCATGATCATAAACAAGCTTCAATGGCCTCCAACGAATGGCAACATCTTTAGAATGTCCATGAACAACACTAGATGCTGATGAAGATGCCTTCTCTCTTTGGCCATCCTTATTGTGATCAGCATGTGGTCTGGAAGGACCATTTGCAGGCTTCAAAATAACCTTTGGTAACTGAACTTTGGCTTGAGGACCATTTTCAGCTGGTGTAACTTGATATGGCTTCTCAGGCTTGTTATTAACTGATATAGCTGAAGCCCCACCTAAAGGTGCTGGCTTCTTAGACATTGGCCGAGCAGGTAAGCATGGCCCTAAGCCAGCAATAGGAGCTGCACCCACTGCAGAAGCACCAAGTGCAGCTGGAGATGGGCGGCTTTGGAGGTCCTGCTGGGCCTCTGGACGAGGACCAAGTGCCATCCTCAATCGTCCAGCAATCTCCAAAGCATCTCGGTGATTTGGATCAGCACCCAATAGTATCTGGACATCTTGCATCGCCATTTCATACTTCCTCACAGCCTCAAATGCACGAGCCCTTCGTAGAAGGGCCCGAACATAAGAGGGCTGAACCTGAAGTGCCATGGTACATTCAGAAATAACAGAATCATAGTCTATGGGCTTCATTTGCATCAAACAGGCTGCCCTATTGCTATGAAAAACAGCTCTATCAGGGTGTGTCTTTGGTGTAAGTTTGAGAGAATTCTCATATTGCTCCAGGGCACCCACATAATCCTTAGCCTGAAACCTTTTGTTCCCCTCTTCTTTCAGCTCATGGGCTCTTTTTGAGAAAATTGATGAGTCCAAATCAACACTACCATTAACAACAGGTGTATGGCTATTCCCAACAGCCCCTTGGTTCTGGTTTTGATTTTGACTAACACCCGCCTTCTTTTTCCTACCACCTGATTTCCCCATGTAATAATCCTAACAGTAACTTGTATAAAGATTCAAACTTTATTACTAATGAGCCAGAATAAACTAATATATCACTATACTTCACCCTTCTTTTTTGTGCTGTATAAATCAAGAATCATAAAGGAGAACAGAAATAGCTACTTACAGGTATAAAGTTTCCACCTTTCGTGCAGAATTTAGAGTTTTCTGATTGAATCTTGAAGACCCAGAAGATGGATTGAAGAATCTGATAGGTTGGATAAATGGGTGTTTTTTTTTTTTTTTTTTGAGGAGAAGCACTAATGTAAGGTTTTGGGTTTCAAACCCTAGATAGCTGACTGAGTATCCAATGGTAGGACCCACTGTTGGTGTCTATATTGTGAACCGTCGAATGGATGATCATATTTTATAATCACCGTCAATCTTATTCATTTTATATTACACTAAACTTTATTTTAAAACTCGTTTCTATGTCAATCAGTTAACTAATTCGATTAGTGTTCGTAAATTTACTAACATCATATTACATGTTTATTATGCCTATTGAAGTCCTTGAAGCGCCATTTATATTTTAGAAGAGTCCTTTCCATGACAGGAATATCAATAATTCTTTCTTGCATTATAGTATTAATATTTCAAGAATTAGCCCAACTGAGCTAAGAATATATGAAGTCTAATTTTGTAAAGAT